ACAAGTCGCGGACAAACGCCCGAGATCCCCAGACACGGAACGCAGACGCATCGCCAACCTTCCCCGTCCACAGCAAAGCTGGGGAGGTCTCCGGCATGGAGACCCTGGGGTGAAGGTTGATCTGATGCGCCGCGTACCGAACCGCAAACGGCCACAGAAAATGGGGGGCAGCCGCATGCATCATGGACGTACGGGCGACGTCCATGACCATGCCAATGCGGCGCTCAGCAATCCCATTTTGCTGTGGAGAGTCCGGAAGCGTGAAGGTCTGGCGGATGCCTCGTGCACGACAGTAGGCTCGCAGAAGGCCAGAGGAGAACTCTCCGCCTCTGTCAGAGTGCAGACGCAGAACAGGAAAGTCCGAGCCAAAGCTCCGCCTGAGCTGGAGACGAGCTGCGCGGATCCAGTCGATCAACACCTCAGTGACTTCACCCTTGCTGCGCAAGGGGAAGATTGTGGTGTAACGCGAGTAGTCGTCAACCACCAGCAGGAAGTAGCGCTCGTGACCCTGTCCACGGACGCGGGCCGGGCCCCACACGTCCATGTGAAGCGTCTGCAGCGGGGCCTCTGTCGGAGGAAACTGGGAGGAGTGAGGGGTAGCCCGCTGCCGTCCCTCGACACAGGGGACGCAGGTAGGGCCTGGCCCCGGAGGAAGGGGAGGGAGGGACCGGGGAAGACCAGAGACAAGGACACGGGAGGCCATGCTCCGAAGACGAAGCAGGGAGGGGTGGCCAAGGCGGTGGTGCCAGAGGAGAGTCTCGTGAGACAGGAGGCGACACGAGCAGGGGGCAGACTCAGGACCAGACCTGGACGCTGCAGCAAACACCTGACCCGACGCAGCTACCTGACCAGACGCAGGGACTGGAGGAGACGCAGTGGTCAGTGTGTACAGGCTCGACCCTGGCCGACGTGTAAACGTGGCCAGGTGGCGGCCTGTCCGAGCGTCCGTGCAGTGGGTCACCCGCTGACTCGCAGGAGTGAACTGGTGAACCCCCGCATCCTGTAGGTCAGCACCACTCACCAAGTTCGTAGAGAACGAGGGGAGGTAGAGACCAGACAGGGTGCCAGAGGGGGCCGCCGGACACGGGAGGACAGTGGAGAAGTGAGCAAGGACAGGACCCCCAGAGGGGTCTGCCAGGGAGACCGCAACTGGCCGGACAAGCGGCGTGAGTGTGGTGCGGTCTCGAAAGAAGGAGCGAGAAGCCCCCGAGTCAAGTGTGAAGGTGTGGGAGGCCGAAGCCGACGCAGAACCTGAGAGAGCAGACTCACCAGCACCTGAGGGAGCAGACGCACCTAGAGCAGCAGCCTTGCTAGCACCTAGAGCAGCAGCCTCACCAGTACCTAGAGCAGCAGTCTCAATGCCCGGGTCGGGCGGAAAACACCGGTAACAGTCACCCTCATCACTAATAGTCACAGTATACACGGCAGCAAGAATAGCATCAAAGTCAAGGTCAAAGACAGCTACACCCGCCCTAGACAGCTCACCCAAGCGGGGGATCTCAGTGGCCTCAGGGAACTGGTGACGCCAAGCGTCCGTGAGGCGGCCAAAGCAGCGCTGGGTGGAGTGCGCACCCCCGCACTGCTCACCCTCGCGGTCACCGGTGCGTAGGACGTAGGTGCACGGACCAGCACCCCCACCCCTCTGGCGTGCAGTGTACCACTCACGGAGCTGCTGAGGGGAGGGGACGTCACGAGTGCGCTGCTGCTGCTGCTGCTGCTGGCGCTGACCACCACCGGAGCTGACCCTCTGCGCAGCGCCACCCCGACCAGCTCCACCTCCTCCTCCGCCTCCTCCTCCATCGCCGCCACCTCCGCTCCCTCCGCCACCGCCGCTGCCTCCTGCGCCTCCACTGCCACCACCGACACCTCCACCCCCGCCACCACCCCCACCGCCACCCCCACCCCCTCCACCGCCTCCACCACCGCCTCCACCGCCCCCGCTAGCTCCTCCAGTGCCCCTGCCCCCCTTGCCCTTGCCAGGGCGGCGTCTCCCGCTAGGGGTAGACGCCGCACCGACCGACTCAAGCCCAACGAGGTCGGCCGCAGCAGTAGAGGCAACAGAGGGCAAAAGGGGGGAGGGGGAACACCCCTCAAAGATGGGGGTGCGAGGGTCACCACGAGAGGCTCCTACAGCTACTATGCTCTTCTCTGCTGCTAGGAGGGACTTCTCGAGGAGGTCAACGGTGAGAGTGGTGGGGCAAACAGAGAGGAAGTGGTCCCTGACTACGCGAAGGGAGTCAGGGAGCCGGGTGACTATGTAGTAGAGGGTGATGTACATGGGGGGGGGGTTCTTGGCGCAGAACTCAGCAGGAAGCGCAGCGCGGTAGCGAGTGTCACTAGTGCGGAGGTGCGTAATGAGGTCAGCGACTGTGGGAAAGGCAGCAAGGTCAGGGAAGAGGTACGGTAGCATGAGGCGGCTAAGTGCAGCAGTGGCAGGGGAGGAGTAGCGCGCAACTACAGCGTCGTACAAGGTCTGAGCACTCTTGTACTGGCTAAAGTGCGCACGCTCTGAGGTAGGCAGGTGGCGACGCACAGCAAGACGTGCAGCAGCATCGCGCGTGGCCCACTGTGAGCGAACAGTGGTGTCAGCATCAGCAGCGGGGGCAGGAGAGGCACCAGAAGTGAGGTCAAAGAGGGAGAGGCCGTCTGCCCTGTCGCACTGTAAGAAAAGCTGCAGGTCATCTATCCAGACATCAAAGTCAATGGCCTGACCCTCAGCGTCAAAAGCGAGGACACTAGGGGTAGCCATGACAGTAGTAGACTAGCAGCGCAAACAGTAGGGTGAGGGCAGTGCTGTGAAAGGGGCGCTGCTCTTACCGGACAGGGCGGCTCGGGTGGCTCGGCTGCAGGGCGGCTCGGCGGCTCGGCTGCTGGGCGGCTCGGCGGCTCGGCGGCTCGGTTGCTGGGCGGCTCGGCGGCTCAGCTGCTGGGCGGCTCGGTGGCTCGGCTGCTGGGCGGCTCGGCTGCTGGGCGGTTCGGCGGCTGGGCGGCTCGGCTGCTGGGCGGCTCGGCGGCTCGGCGGCTCGGCCGTTCGGCTGCGAATGCTGCTGCAGAGATGGCGGCGGCTGCTGCCTCAGGGACGGCAGCGGCCAGCCGCTAGGGGCCGCGTCAGGTGCAGGAGAGGGCCGCGTCAGGGGCGGCGTAGGGGCCGCGGCAGGGGCGGCGAAGGGGCTGCGTCAGGGGCCGCGTCAGGGGCCGCGGCAGGGGCCGCGGCTGGGCCGCGTCAGGGGCCGCGTCAGGGGCCGCGGCAGGGGCCGCGGCAGGGGCCGCGTCAGGGGCCGCGTCAGGGGCCGCGTCAGGGGCCGCGTCAGGGGCCGCGTCAGGGGCGGCGTAGGGGCCGCGTCAGGGGCCGCGTCAGGGGCCTCGTCAGGGGCCGCGGCAGGGGCCGCGTCAGGGGCCGCGTCAGGGGCGGCGTCAGGGGCGGCGTAGGGGCCGCGGTAGTGGCGGCGGAGGGGCCGCGTCAGGGGCCGCGTCAGGGGCCGCCTCAGGGGCAGCGTAGGGGCCGCGTAGGGGCCGCGTCAGGGGCCGCGGCAGGGGCCGCGTCAGGGGCTGCGTAGGGGCCGCGTCAGGGGCCGCGTTGGGGCCGCGTCAGGGGCCGCGTTGGGGCCGCGTCAGGGGCCGCGTAGGGGCCACGTCAGGGGCCGCGTTGGGGCCGCGTCAGAGGCCGCGTAGGGGCCGCGTCAGGGGCGACGTAGGGGCCGGGTAGGGGCCGCGTAGGGGCCGCGTAGGGGTCGCGTAGGGGCCGCTAGGGGGGCCGCTAAAAAAAAAAATTTAGGGCAGGGGCGCAATGCGCGTCGGGCAGCTAAAAAAAAAAATTCGTTATGGTGGGCCCTTAGGAAGGAACGGTCCCATGTAGGAACCCGCTCTATACCATGTGAATTAAGAAAACAGGAATGAAATGACTAAGTGAAAGTTGGGTACAAGAAGCAAACCCTAGAAAACTGTACCCCATATGTGCTACCCCACTATAGCCTACAGTAGCTATGTCATATAAATCTGACAGAAGCATCTAAATGCTTCATGCTCATTGGCCCATATTCAATGGTAAGATTCCAAGGTGGTGGGTGAAGATTGGAGGTAGCTGGGTGTTGAGAGGCTGTCTTGATTGTATTTTGTGACTCCTGTCCTGTGGCCTACCATGTGCCACTGCTTGCTTAATTGACATGAATTAACCTCTAAAGAACACTTTTGAGGTTGGGGGGGGTCTTATAATGATTTCACCCCAATTGGGGGGTATAAGGAAAACAGTCTTGAATAACATCGAATCCAAAGGCCTTTTGCGGAATTCGCGGATAGCCTGACCGTCGGATAGTCTGTTCGGCCTTTTGACCGTTACGATCGCTCTTGTACCTCGCTGGGGGGGGAGGGAGGGGAGCCAAGGCACGTCACGAGAAATGGCGGTGGGTGCTGACCAAGAAATGCCCGCCAAAACTTTTGCTTCCGCACATTCCCTGACACGAATGATCATTGGATGGCAACGCAACATATCCGCATTACCTGAATACATGGCTGCCAGTATTTCCACTTGCTTTCCCCAGGTCGTCATAATCACGTTTCTTGCTTGCATGAGTGGGTATGTTGGATAACTCGCGCTGATTATCGAGGTACGAACTTGCTTATCTAGACGCCTAATGCAGAAGCGATTTTCGGTTTCTCAGTTCCTGAAGTGCTTCAGTGTCCGAGTTTTCCTAAATGCATTCAGCATTTTCCTACACAGCTCAAAAGCTGAAGTCGTGAACTGTTTCCGTAGCCTCGACTCCTGCATTTCTCAACTGGATATCTGATTATCTTACCTGGACGCCGAGCTGACCTTGGTTAATGACTAGCTCGCCGTTCCCGCTCTTGCCTTCAGCACCATCAACTCGCCGACAAGCGATCAAGTCGCGTGGATTCTTATTAAAAAAACTCATTTTTAGAGCTTGACACCTTGATAAATGGCTGAGAAGGTCCTGTCAGACTTACCCACCAGAGCCGAGCTAGCTCTGAACACCCTTCGCACTATGACCGAGCCCGCGTTACAATCACTACGCACTATAAGCGAACAAGTCGGTAGCACCATCCGCCCGTATGTCATCCCTTTCGCCGTCATCCTCGCTATAGTCATCCCCATCAACCTGGCATTCCGGTCGAACCCCGGTCTGCTCTCCAGCGGCTGGAGCAGCGGCGGAGGCTCAGCAGCGTCGCTTCCGTACCAGCCACCTAGCCTCGGATGGGCTGCATTCCTGTTTCCGAGCATGAACGGCATTGACGCGGCTGTATGCCGTGCAGAGGAGAATTACTGGGTGAGTTTTCTTTTCCTCTTTTTTTCCTGGCGAACTGGCGTAATCTGTTTCCCAGCTTTCTCGCAACTTTACGTTTTAGTGAGTTGAATGATAGAATTCCCCTTTGCCTTCCACCTCCCACTCCCCCGCACCCCACGCTCAGGAGAACCTTGTGCTGAGACGGAAGGCGTGCAAGGGAATGCTGTACCCGCCACCGGCATCGATGACAGATGTCGTAATGAAAACTCTCGTGCTCATCCCCACGTACCCGTGCCCGGCGAACGAGCGCATTGGGGAGTGGGGGGACGGGGGGAAGGTGAGCCAAAGGAGCGTCTCAAATGTACCTGTGCCCTATGAAGCCTTCGGTTTGAATTATAGCTTGCATTGGCGACGCCTTTCAGCCCCCTGTTGCATCCCGCACCCAACATGCCACCACCCTCCCCAATCTCCCTCTACCCACTCCAATCTAGCTCTACCCACTCTAAACTCCCTCTACCCACTCTAAACTCCCTCTACCCACTCTAAACTCTCTCTACCCACTCTAAACTCCCTCTACCCACTCTAAACTCCCTCTACCCACTCTAAACTCCCTCTACCCACTCTAAACTCCCTCTACCCACTCTAAACTCCCTCTACCCACTCTAAACTCCCTCTACCCACTCTAAACTCCCTCTACCCACTCTAAACTCCCTCTAACCACTCTAAACTCCCTCTACCCACTCTCCCCCCCGCCCCACCACCAACCACAGTGGACTTGCCTGCTGCCAGGCGCTATTCAGAAGAATCCCATTGTGTACAGGTGAGGGTGGGAAAGGGATGAGAGTAGTGAGGAGGTGAGGGGGATGAGGAGGTGGGGAGGTGCGGATGTGGGAAGTGGCGAGTGGCGAGTCATGGGGCAAGTCGAAGGAGAACAAATGGGTACCCAGCTTTTCACCTCGTGAGCGATACTTTTTGAAATTCTGTAAAATTTTGTTAGCGGTTTTTGAGGTTTTCAATACCATCGTTGTGTGCGAGTTTTAAGATTATGAAAACAGATGGGTGGGTTGCCCAGCTCTTCGCCTTGTGTGCACTTCCTCACTCCAATAATTTCCTCACTCCAATAATTTCCTCACTCCAATAATTTCCTCACTCCAATAATTTCCTCACTCCAATAATTTCCTCACTCCAATAATTTCCTCACTCCAATAATTTCCTCACTCCAATAATTTCCTCACTCCAATAATTTCCTCCCACATTCTGTGCCAAACACTCCCACTCACAGCATTGGCAGCTTCGGGCAGTACTCCTTTGAAGACTCCATCTACAAGATTCTGCACGTTCAGCCGCACACGTTCGACCCGTTCCTCGTTCCCACCACCGCCGCCCGCATGCAGAACGTCTCCTGCCTCCACTTCCACCCAATCGGCCTCTCTGCAAACTCGGAGCTCCAAAACTACACCGCCAAGTTCCCTACCATGCAGTTCATGACTCTCGGAGGGATTATGCAGCTGTTGAATCATTCGTATGTGGACATTTTCAAGATTGACTGCGAGGGGTGCGAGGAGGCTCTGATTCCTGAGATTGGGGAGGCAAATGGGAATGCAGCGGCGGCGCAGCTGAGTGTGCACGGGGGGACGCTGCCGTTCGGACAAATCTTGGTGGAGTTTCACAAGTGAGTTGGGCGTATCACAAGGGGCCATATATACTCAGCTGTGTGTGTATGGTGTGCACAGATGCAGCCATGCAGCGACAAGGACTGCCGCCCGTTTCTGTCTTTCAATTCAATCTCTCCACTCTGTTTCTTACTCCTTTATTCTCTTTCCTCCCCCCTCCACCAGAATGAACCTGCCCCAGGTTACCCTGCCACTCGTCTACACATTAGAGAAGCTTGGGTATCGCATGTTTAGCATCGAGTACAACCAGCAGTGCTGGCATTGCTGCGAGATGAGCTTCATTCATGAGAGCCTCGTGCGGCCAGGTAGCGACAAAAACTGCCGCCCGTTTCTGGCTTCGGAAACGTTTGTAAGCAAGAGCGATGCAGTTGCCGTGATGCAGGAAAAGCTGGGTTTAGGAGGAGACTAGATGAATCGGGTGGAGGAGGCTATGTAAATTATATTTAAGCACCCCTGTAACTGTTGTTGGCTTGAAAAAGTCCTTAGGGTACATTCCTATCGAAATTACATTTCTCGACTTTCTCGAACCGCTGAACAAAGTCGTCCTTAGGACGACTTGCGTCATCCAATCGAAATTACATTTCTCGACTTTGTCGCGCTGGCACCCAATTAGCCGGCGACAGTTCCGTGGGTGGCCCTTCCTTCACCGTGATGTCCAATTTCTCTCATTCAAACCTCTGTCCTTGCAGTCTGAACTAGTGTGTCCCAGCTAGATATACCGTATTACCCCGGATATAGGCGCATATGCGCCTATAATAAAATCATTTTTTTTAGGGGTGGCGCTTGTAATTGAATAACGGCCATAAGCGCCGGCGCTTATATCATGGCAAAAATGAATTTGTTATTTTTATGTACCAAATCGAAGCCCGCAATAAGGCGAACACAATTGAGTAACGTGCCCGTGGGATAATGCATGTAATCCCGCCGAAAACTGCTGCGCTTCGATTCCTGACCGCACAAATCCCGTCCACGAGCAGCGCACCTGCTAGCGCTGACGTGAAAGTTGCCTTGCGGCCCAATCAGGCTTTCATGCGCTGGCAGGCAGCTGCATTTCACCCGAACCATCGAGAAGGGGCTGGAATGCCCTGCCAGCGCAACATCTTCGTGCCGCGATAACCTCCTCTCCGGGTTCAGACAGGGGGTACCCGTCTCTCCCCGACGAGGACCCCGAGGCGCTAACCAGAAGGGGTCCCTTTGAATCTCTCATTTGTTCTCCATCTCTCTCAGTTTCTCGTTCGGGTTCTTGGTAGTTCTCGCCTGGCTGCCGCCGCCATGGCGGAATTCAGCGGCACCCACTTCTTGTTCAAGAAAAAGCCTACGCGAAGGCCCGCGTTTAGAGTAGACGCTGACGGGTGGTACTCCCGTATCCCACCAGAACCACCAGAGCCACCACGGCCTCCTGCGCCTCCTGCGCCTCCTGCGCCTCCTGCGCCTCCTGCTCCTCCTTCGCCTCCTGCACCTCCTGCGCCTCCTGTTCCTCCTGCTCCTCCGCCTCTGGGTCCTGTGTCTCCGCAACTCACTGGCAATCAGCCCGTGCTCACGATACTGCTCCCATCGGTGTTCGACGAATACCTCTCCGAACCGGAGTCAAACAAGGCACAAGATGAGTACGTGGAAGTGGAACACTTTCCTGGAGGACGTTGGGGACAGCCCGACGATTGCCCTTGGGACGAATCTGCGGTCGGCGCCGACGATGATGTTGCTGACGCAGAGGAAGCGAGCGGCGCTGACGGCGTCGAGGGTGGCACGGAGGCTTCCGCCGGGGGCGGCGCCCAGGGCGGCACCACTGACGATGTGTTTCCAAAAGGTGTTACGGGCGACGCTGACGACGACGGCGTTGAGTACTGGTCACGCGACGGGCTACCCGAGAAACTGCCCATACCAACCTATCCTCCGAATAATCGCAAGCGACCCCACCCCTCTTCACAGAACCATGATGCCCGCCCCCCCTCTCCCAGGCACAAGCTCACCGACCACAAGCGGCAAGGTTACACCGCCGCGGAGAAGTTGAAGTGGGTTGCTCTGATGGACTTGGCGGTGTCGGTGCGCGCCTTGGCTCGCGAGAGCGGAATCCACCGGAGGTGTCTCACCAACTGGAAGCGGGCGGCGGAATTCCTCAAGGATGTTCACTCCTCTCGGAAGCGCATGCACGGCCGCGGACGAGCGTCGTGGTACCGGCCGATGGAGTTGAAGGTGTACGAGAAGCTACTCGAGTGGCGCCGCAAGGGAACCGCCGTGTCAGTCGGCCGCTTGCAGGAGTGGTCGCGGGAGTTCATGAAGCTTCTGTACCCGGACAAGAAGTGGAAAGGAAGCCAGAGGTGGTCGGAGCGCTTTCGGCGGCGATGGAATCTGAGCGTCCGCATGAAGACCCGGGTTGCCCAGAAAACCGCAGCGCGTGAGAATTACCCCGTTCAATTTGGCACGTTGATTTTCTTTAATTGTACTAACGCCCTCCGTCTGTGTCCGACGTCTCTTCCACCGCCGTGCAGATGTCGCTGATCATGTCAGAATCAGCAGTAGAAAGTGAGAATGAAGAAAGGAGCAGTTTCACTAGCAAGCAGTTGAGTACATATAGGAAACCCTAGATTGGGCTGTACTCGCTATAGAGCACCCCACTGCAGGCTAGACAAATACAACATTCTGACACACCCCCATAGTCAAAGTGGGGTGTAATCAGCACAATGAGCAGGTATAGCAGGAGTTCACAATAAGAAGCAAAGCTAGAGGTAATCACAGCGGGCAAGTGAGGAGGAGGAGGGACTGTGAGAGGAGAGAAGATGAGAGACGGCGGCTGAAGCTGCAGACACACGGGCAACAGGAGCTGCTGGCACAGTGGCTACCGGGACAGTGCGCCCCGGACTACTGGAGTAACTGGCTCACGGGCTACGACGAGCTACAGGAGCAACGGACCCTCGGGCGACAGGCGCAGCAGACTCTCTGGGCTACCAGGACAGTGCGCCCCGGACTACAGGTGCTGCGGACGACAAGACAGCAGCCTCCGCTCAACCTCCTCCAACTGTCCCACACACCCCCCACACACCCACTGCTTCACTCCTAACTCCACTTGCACGTCACCCCCCTAGTACCACTCCTTCGGCTCCCACACACCCACCCCCCTCAGCGGCAGCTGCAGCACTGGGAGACGGAGGAGGAGGAGGAGCAGGGGACGACGCACAGAAACTGCACCCCCATACCCCCCACCCCCAAACCCTAATTCAGAAGAACGGGCAGCAGCAGGGGTGGGGCGCCGTCAGAAGCACGGGGGGCAGCGGGTAGCGCAGGGGCAGAGAAAACAGGGCGCCCACGGGCCTGGCGCAGCCCGTACGAACCGCGTGCGGGCGGCCCGAGGCGCGCCCTGGCCTGGCGCAGTCCGTACGGGCCGCGCGCGGGCCTGGCGCTGCCCGTACGGGCCGCGCGCGGGCCTGGCGCAGCCCGTACGGGCCGCGCGCGGGCCTAGCGCAGTCCGTACGGGCCGCGCGCAGGCTGTACGGGCCGCGCGCGGGCCCTACGCAGGTCGCGCAGGCCGCGACGGGCGACGGGGGGCGACGCGCGGGTCCCCGTCGCCCGTCGCAGCGCCTCCCGGGAGCGACGCGCGGAGTGACGGGGCAGAAAGCCGCCGCGCGCCTCGGGGCGCACGGCGGGCAGAAAACCGCCGCGCGACTCGGGGCGCACGGCGGGCAGAAAACCGCCGCGCGCCTCGGGGCGCACGGCGGGCAGAAAACCGCCGCACGCTCCGAGCGCGCGGCGTGATGAAAAATCCGTCGCACGCCACGGGGCGTGCAACATACAGAGTAGCAGTAGCAGCGGAAGCAGTGAGGTGGTGGGCCCACCCAAAGGATCGACCCAAGGGGATCGACCTGCTCTGATAGCATGTCAGAATCAGCAGTAGAAAGTGAGAATGAAGAAAGGAGCAGTTTCACTAGCAAGCAGTTGAGTACATATAGGAAACCCTAGATTGGGCTGTACTCGCTATAGAGCACCCCACTGCAGGCTAGACAAATACAACATTATGACAGATCAGTGCAAGAGCTTCTGGCAGTTCGTGCGTGCCAAGCGTCGTGAGCGCGGCATCGACACCGCGTGGATCATCAACGCGGACCAGACGCCGCTCTGGCTGGAGATGCCCGCCACCACCACCGTGGAGGAAACGGGTGTTTGCTCGGTGCCTATCAGGAGCGCGGGGTATCAGAAGCAGAAGTGACCGTGATCTTGGCGTGCACGGCGGACGGAAGGAAGCTGAAGCCGTGGGTGTTCTTCAAGCGCAAAACCTTGCCGAAGGGCGATTTCCCTGCCGGTAAGTAAAGAGGTGCACGGCTCGGTCACTGCGTTCTTTTCAGAGTTTGAATTCTAACCACCCATGCGTGTTTCATGCAGATGTGGCCGTGGCTTGCCACGAGAACGGGTGGATGGACTCCCCTGGCGTCGTTCGCTGGCTTGAGGAGTGCGTGAAGCCGTTCCTGAAGCCTCGGTTCGGCAGACACGCCAAGAGCTCGATGCTGGTGCTGGATTCTTACCGCGGTCACCTCACCGAGGAGGTGAAGGAGAAGCTCCGCGAGATGAACTGCGTGCCGGCGATCATCCCGTCGGGCTGTACGGCGGAGGTACAGCCGCTCGATGTCTGCATCAACAAGAGCTTTAAGGCGTCGGTCCGCCAGCAGTACCAGAGGTGGTTTGAGGCAGAGGGGCAAGAGCAGCTGACGGCAGCAGGTATGGCATGAGTACAGTATTCCCCCCACCCCCCCCCCCCCCCCCCCCCCCCCGAATTCTTTGTTGTTGCACTAACTGCTTTCCACTGTTCTCCCGTAATGTTTCAGGGAACCTGAAGAAGCCTTCACCAGAGGTCGTCCTGCGGTGGGTATCACAAGCCTGGAAGGCAGTGCCCGCCGACCTCATCAAGCATGCCTTCCTCACCTGTGGCATCAGCAACCAGCTTGACGGCAGTGAGGACGGACTCGCCATGGCGCACAGGCGGAGCCAGCTGACAGCCGAAGTGGATGTCGACG